CTCGGAAAACGAATCAATCTCCACAGAATCCTGTTTTAATCGGTCGCGGAGTCGGTATTCATTCCCGGGCTCGATCGTCATAAGGACCGCGATCCTATGTACGGTCCCACTGTCCTCGGTTGTGCGTTGATCCGTCTGCTGGACGAAACCCTTAGCAACAAGGCCCGCTCGAGCAAAGAGCACTCCAATCTCGGGAGCGATGAAACATGGATTATACGCAAACAGGACACCAGACATGTAACATTTGCTGGTGAGGTGTATCCGGCCATGGATCGCCGTTTGCCGTCTCCTTGCCCTTATCCGCCCACTTATTATTCCGCTCATATCTCTCGATCGGAAGGTTCATCCTTCCCGATCCTGGTCCTCGACCGCTCCCCCTGATCTGTAGATGTTTGTTCATATCACTGGATATCCTATTTATTTACAGCTGCGTACATACATATATGTGTGTGTCTGCTGCAGTGGGTAATACAAGGTATGATATGTTCCGCCACACCCTGCTCGAGCTCAGGTCTGATGGCGTTACCATTCCGTGTCGCTGGCTGGAAGCGATCAAAACTATTTCACGACCACACCCACAATTGAGCGAGAGCTGATGAGCCGACCGATGTCAGTTCCCTTAGAAAGAGTGCTATCCGAACGCAATGCAATTTCATGCGCCGCGTATAGATCCCGGGCCCAGACGCCCCCGAGCCGATCCGGAGCTCCGAAGTCTGCTACATCCCCACATCATACACAACGCAGGCCCCTGATAGAAGACCGGCCCGTCCTGCGATGGCGCTCCGATACTAACATTGTGTTCCTAATGAGATCGGAGGGAGGCTCGGGAATAGATGATGTTCCTTCGACTCCTCTGTCCGCCGCCTGTCGACCTCCGTGCTCTGTGAAAGTGCGCCGCTCGCTGTCTGTCGGGAGCACGTTTCATCTACGGAGAACACAACGGAATCCGAAGGGAAAAGGGAGAACGAACGATCCGGAGGGCGGCAGACCCGCCATTTCGTTCAGATCGACGAAGGCCGCTCCCGCTCGGCTGTCTCCTCGCGCTGCGAACGACCCGGGAGAAATTCCGTCCTCCGTTCTTTACGGGACAATATTTTGCTCTCTTTCGGGACGTCGGCGTCGGTCGGAAGTGAAAGAAGGAAACGGAACGGCTCGCGTGGCGGGATCGTGTCCCTCCACAAAATTACTTTGTCTAAACGAGTTGACGTTTCTCGAGGGGATTCTTCTGTTCGCCATCGTGTCTGCGACCATTCGCTTCAATCCCAATATAGGTATATTCGGGAGACGCTTCGCAGATTCTTGTCCTTAAATCGATTTCCCGATCGTTCGCCGAGAGCCTGTCTCGAGAATTCGAGCACGAACCTTACCTCGGCTGTTTTTTTCTTCGGTTTTCTCCCCGCAACTATGATCAAGGGAAGAGGAATTCAACAGGGAATCGGTGGGCATGGCGTGGCTTCTTTCGGTCATAAACTGAGACGAGCTGACTGAGTGCAAAGAAAAGTTCAGGTTGAGGAGAAAAGCTGAAATTGCTCAAAATACTCATCCGAGCCAATCGCTGATTCAGAGTTCCTTCTTCCGAGACGAGCGAGCCGAAAAACTTTTAGTCTCCCGGAGTCCTCTCGTCTGGACTCATTGTTGCGTTTCGTCAGCAAACTACATTACTTTGACGCCGCCTGTGCAGGGGGCGACGACGACGGGTCGGAGCAGAGAAGCTCGTGTCATGAAATATATCCTCGGTTGCCGATACTCGACCGAGTCGATAGTGCACATGAAGTGCGTCGAATGTCGACTCAAAATAGATTCTGCCGCGACGCCATCCGTCATCCGCGAGGAAATATCATGCTCCGTCTCTCTCGAGCTTAGCTTGATGCCTCCTCCGACGAAGAACATGATATCTCGCTAAGCGTTCAGCGATCAGAGATACTTTCTGCTCTGGTAACGCTAAGAAGCAGACGGAGGCACTCTCGGCTCCAGCTTATGCTGCGTCATTAAAAATCCATCTTTCGCTTGGAGAATTTCCTTCGCGCCGATCGCTCGTCGATCGTCGGGGCCTGCGCACGTATACGCGAATTCCAGCCGGCATTCGGTGCCGTGAACGGGTTAGCGCACAGTGCGACACTTCGTAATGAATTCGCTATTTTTAGCTCGGCTTGTTCAACATAGAAACGCATATAAGTATCATACCGTGCGTTTCAATTTATGTAAGCGAGTTCCGTATTCAGCATGGAGTGGTCCCGGCCCCGTTCTCCCTCCGATGCCGAATTCGACCGCGACCAGTGAGGATATTATTCATCTCGTTGATCACTTCGATATGTTGTTCCAATCACTCGGTGCAAGCGACCATCCAAACACCGACGCTGGCGGCATCACTCTCATTGAGCAAAAGGTAACGCTCGACGAAACTCGAACTATTGGGGCGGTGCGCAGTCGACGTACTCGCTGAACTCGGGTCTGGCGTCGGTCGGGCCAAACTGCACGGCGGTCTCGAGCGAACCTCTCATTCCTAACACTGATTGACGGTCCGAGAGACCGACTCTGTTGCACAACGAACGCTTTACCGAGTGTGGTTTCAGTGGTGCGCATGTTCCGGAGCGGATTCTGTGCTGGAGAATCCGTTCGGGGAACCGGTAGAATCGCATCTCACAACGAGACCCGCGGACAACTGAACATGAGAAGCTACTCCGAAAGTAGTTCCGAGGACGACGACGGTGTCGCGTGGTGTTATCTCGGAACAGCGCCTTTTCACTTCGATCTACCGACGGCAAGGAACGCGAACTTACCGTCCCGCTGTGTTTCAGGTATTTTTGATCCAACGAGGATGACATCGGAGGTGGCTCATATACAAGTAAGTGCTGCTATCAGGTCATCGGCGTCGTTTCCGGATCAAGCGACGTGCTTCGTGGTTTCCTTCGATATATCCGTCCCGAGACGGGAGCTGACGGTATCGTCTCACGTCTCGTTACGGGTGGATGGTCTCCGGACGGGGAGCCCGCGAGGATATTCATGGGAATATTCTGAGGGAACTCACGCGAACTCCTCAAGGAATTCGTGGTTATTCCGCGGGAGCTCTGTGAATTCTCAGCGGTGCGGCCCTGCACGCTGCGGACGGCTCGGACTCGTCGGAATTCCTCCCGGATAATCGCATGTTTTTGCTCGAATACTTGCATGGTTTTCCTCAAATACTCGCACGCCTGGGCACGGAGACTGGTACGACCGCAGAGCGTCGAAGCGACTCTTCGTCTCCATATTCCTCATGCCTAATCATACGGCAGATGTTCTTCTTGGCGGTGGCCAACGTTCCGGTGGCAAAGGATGTTGAAAGTACGTGGGTGCGTTTGATAAAGAAGTTTGCACGCCACGGCTGCGGACGTTCTCCTCTCCGTCCATCCCCCCCCTTCCGTGTGCTCGCTAGTTCCCTTCTCCGCTACTCTCGGAGGCGAGTCGTGTGGGACTTTCTCGTCCGAAAACGCTCACAAAACACGATCAATTAATCTTCATAACTCAGTTATCTCCATGAGCTTTTACGAAGTCCCCTCGTGGTGCTATTCTACTGCGTCGGCCCCGAGTTGCAGACATGGCTGACGGCCACCGTCTGCTGCTCATCTGGCCTAGGACGGGAAGTCCGTCGGAACTCCCCCCTCAGACGACCCGAACGTCACGCCCCCGATTCTTCGGCTGCGTATCGTGGTTCGACGCTTTGCCGATACGCTTCCTTGGTGTGGGCAACTCAGGTGCCATACTACCGAGGCTGTGACGTTCGCAGCACGTCTGCCTTGCAGAGATGGCATGATTGATAGCAAATTCAGAAAAACTCCCGACTTGTGAAGACGGGCGACTATGATGCGGCGGCGTGTGTGTATAGCACGCTGCGGAATTCAGTCGCCGGCTCAGCACCACATCGTCAGTCCAAAGGCAGAGCCCCGAGAGGAAATAGTCTCGGGTCGGGATTCGCCCACGAGTCCCGTCAGAGGGGGCCAAGCGTCGCGTCGTCACCGGCTCTGGCACCAGGATCTCGCCCCGTAATCTACCATTTCCCGATCCCGCTCCGATTCCTCAAGTCATTCACGTGAAGTCGATGAGGGTATCGTACGTGATGTCGTCGTGGACTCCGTACGCGATGATCTCGGGCTACCGTTCGGAATGTCGATTCCATGATACATCTAGGGATGCTACTGTCGTCGTCTACCGATACCTCCACCCGTTCAAGTCTCCGCTGGAGTTTTTCGTGGCAGTGTCTTTTCTGCGTTGCCTGGAGATGACTTCGTTCTCCGTTGGTCCAAACGCTGCCGGCGCGTGCATTGGGGTAATTCGAGTCCTCCTTCCTCGTCCTTCTGTAAGTCAGCGTGTGGGGTCTATAGACTCCCAGTGGAACCCAATTATAATTCCTGAGGAGAGAGTCATTCGACTCAATCGAGATCTGATCGATGCTGAACGCTGACTCCATGATCACGATGAAATTCGAAACGAGAAGCGAGTTCCCAGAGAATCGTGGAGCTTCATCTGCAGCACGTCCACAAACGTAGTGGTTCGATGGTTTGCATCGCTGACTGCCAACTCGCGCGGTCAGGATCCGGATGCTGGGTACTCAATGATGTCCCCATGGAGCCTTTGATTTATGACGCAAACGCCGAGACACTCGAACAGGCCACGGCTGCGGTCAGCTCAGATGGGTCATTCCGGGACCTGAAGATGCGGAACGGATGAAGGAAAAAAACGCGGCTGGTACCGAGCCGAAAAGGCTGCATCTCGCCAGTTCCCGAATGTTTCTCCATTCAACAGCTTTACCTTGTCTGTTCATCGCTCGTGTTTGTGTTCCGGAACCTTTTCCACACCATTCTGGGATAGAGACTCGCTCACGGGAAATGTTGCCTGAGGAAGCTTCCTTGTTTATACGTTTTTATTTCCAACCGCTTGCCGTTCCCCTAGACGCCACGGAGACAGCGTGCAACAATCAAGTTCTGAGAGGAATGACATCTGTCGCTCTATTTCAGCCTAGCGCGATGCACGGCAGCGTAAGCGGAGGTGGTGGTGGAGGCAACGAAAGCGGAAAAATACGCCGATCTGCAACTGCAGCTAACGCCTCGAAAATGCAGCAACGAGGGAGACCCAGCATCGAAATATATCGACCGCCTGGTGAGTAGCCCTTCGCTTTCACTTTGTCCTCTTCTACCACCCGGTCTTTCATTCACTGATGCATGCTCCACTCGAGCACTCAGCAAATTGCTTCCACCGTGAAACTTCACGAGGAATCGGCTCGTCTCGGGGAGAGCCCGTCGGGACTCGCATCGAACATCCGGAAGCCCTGGAGTTTCAATCGGGACATCGATTCTTTATCGAGTTCCAATCCTGGCGTTCGTGGATATCTCTATATCTCCCACGAGCCGAGACAGGATACATGTTTCCGCATAAATCATTGCGTAACCGCTCACTACGCCGAAAAGGCACTATGTGCGCCACCGACTGCGTCGGCCACGTATCAAAGGTTACCTGCATTATTCCATTCCGTCCCTGACGGTGATAGATCCTTGGAGAAATGTGCCAAGATTTGGCGCTTCGGGATGAGGGGCTGTCATGCCATATCTTCGGCAAGGAGAATTATATCGGAGGCGACCCGGCTTCCGATGTCGAATATTTCTGGGATGCGCTTGAATATGTGCCGAGGATTAGTCTCCGGGAAGTGTTGAACCAGATGAAACTTTGATTTGCTCCGCGTTCGGAATTCTGATCCGTAGGGGTTCCCGCTCGAGAGGGGCTAGAGGCCACCAATATCTCTGAGCCTGCGATTCGGGAGCAAGGACGGATTGGAGTCCTTCTCTTCTTCTGAGGCGTGCCCCGATGTCGATCGGGTGTTCCGACAGACGAGCTCAAGACCGGTGAACTTAATCATTCGATCGATCACCGAAACGATCGTCGATGAAGTCGGAAGCGTGAATTATGACACGGACGGACGCGTCGATCGAACAATCCCAGCCCGGAATTAGCCCCAGCTGCATTCTTGTCGAGCGAGGATTTCTTCGCTGTCATTCACCGCGGTAACCGCCCGGCGTCGCGCAAGACACCTCCGCGGATCTGAGATTATTCCCGTCGATGCTTTGGGGAGTCTCGTGGATGCGATTGTCGTGGAATCACCGCAGAGCTGTCCTCTTCGAGAATACTAGAGGTTCCGAGAATCTCGAGACAGTCGATGTGAAGCTCAGGCTGCCTTGAGATTACGGATCCGTTCAGTCCTTCGAGAGCAGCTGTTCTGCAATACGAAGTACACGCAATCAAAGCTCCGGAGGCTTGACCTTCGGATCGGCCCTCAACTCTTAGATTGGAACTCGGAGAGCTTTGTTGACAAATTTCCGAGCAAACGTGAGCGACACGCCAATTGCTCCAACAGACGTCAAATCATAAACCAGGCGGGATAATGCTGGACCGTCGCAGCGCGGTCGCGTCCGCCTGCGTGACAGTCTTCTGCTTCACTGAAAGTTTCTCTCATCGCCTCCTTTCTCTATCTTCTTCAATGCCTCACTTCTGAAGATCCGGAGATCGGAAAACGATGTCAGCAATCCGCCGGTTGAGTTGAGTCTGAATGGGTTCCAATCGACGCCGCAACGCTCCGGAGCGCTTCGACGCCACAGAATGCGACGAAGTCCCCGCCGAGAATGCGAACAGATCCGACCGGATTCCGATCAAAAAAATCACGGCACTCGCTCTCGCAGCACCTGTTTCATTGGATTCCTACACGACTTATACATGTCACTGCTGGACTGGCGCCAGTCGCACCTATTTAGTTCGCGGAGAACGAACTCCTAAATGGAGTGGAGTCCCTGAGCGCAAATGGATTACACCTCCCCCCCCCTTGTCAGAATCAACTTCTAATCAGAACTGTACGATACGACTCAGGTGTTCGTGAGGAGCCGTTGAACAACACTAAGAGCGTTCCCCAAGCGGCTTCATTCACGCAGTCGTACGTCGATGCAATGACAGCCTACCTGGCAGATCAAGGTACTATGAATTATCGAGGCGGATGTCCAGCGGTCCCAAAAAGCCGCTGCGCACTCATTCACGATCTCTCATCATTGCCTCGAGAAGCTTACCGAGCTGCCCGAAGCATTCTGATGTCGGTCCCGGTCTCCAACCCCCATGATTTTGCGATAGTTCGCGGTTTTCGCCATTGTCGTCGGGTACATATAAGAGTTTGCTGTAATGAGGGAGATAGTGCCTCGTGGCGCGGTAGCGACTCGAGAAATGAATCTGGGATATAATTGCCTCGTCCGACTTGTTGTACTGTTCACGAGGTCGCGTATTCTCGTTCCATCTGCCCGACCCCCATTAATTGAAGTCTCGTTGAAGATACATACACACACGCCCGGCCACAGAAAGGCAGATCCTTTGAGAGCTTGTCTGATTGACATTGTGTAAAAAGCGGGCAGCTCTCGCAGACTACAATCGTGATAGTTTTACAACACGATTCGCTCTTCTCGACGAGCACCGATGCCGTGCCGACGAGACGAATTAACGAAATGAGAAGACGTGTGTCTGAGAGTGCTGTTTTAGGTGCAGGTATTTATTTCCTTTCGATGAATCATCTGCCGATCGGTCGGAATTCGAGCCATTCGGGGGTGACGGCGATTCCCTGATTGAGCGTGACCTAATATCCTTTCCTTGATAGAATTCTATCGCTGCTTCATTCATTCGGTCATTGCCACGGAATTGATTGAATTTGCTCCGCCGACCATCGGGAGCTCTATTTTCCCTTATCAATACGACCACAGTGTTTGGGCATCGCCAACCAATCATTAGCGAGCTCGGTTGTATCGAGAGTTCGCTCCCTCGACTTGTCTTGGATCGTCGACGAAATCCAATAGGTCATTAATGTTTTCTGCTGTTACAGCGAGCGGTGCTGGAGCCGAAGTGGCTGCTCAGCTCCATGCCCGAAGCCACTTTTCCACGGGAGCTGTTTCCGTCGGCACCCATAATGGCGGTGGCACGACCATCGGCGTGGGCGTCAAGTCGGTGCACTTCTCCCCTTCAAAGAGCTCAAACTCTCTGAAGAGGTCGAAGAGCTTCGCCGCCCAAACGAACCAAGGAAGCGGCCACGGACACAGCCACCACACCCAACAACAGCAGGTGCTCAGCCAGGCTATCCAGGCGCAGGACGAAAACGGTCACTCCAGCGCGGCTCTTAACGACCCTTTAGTAAAAAAAGCCCTCAGTGGTACGTGATGCTTTTCCACGTGCAGCCTGATACCTCTGTCACTGGATTAACTCTGACTCGGAGCTATTCACGCGCAGTGCGTCTAATGGACCGACTGATTTCCAGATCCGAATATGTTGACTTTGATGCAGATAATGGAAGTGGTTCGATCGATCTGTGGGAAAGCCACTGAGGGAATTCAGCATGCTGGCCCGTCTGCTCAGCTTTGCCTTTCAATAATCGAGGTACCAGAGTAGAATTTTGCAGAAGGAGATGTCGCCATCTGCCCTTGCGATACTTCCGGGATGATTTTTCCCTCATGAATAATGATGAATTCAGCGATTCCTCCGGCTAAGATGTCTCGAATATTGGCCACGGAATTTCATCGCGGTTTCCATCTTCCTTTCACAGAAGGAAAACGGAGTTACGTTCTTGGAGAGTTTGTTGAACAGTTGTCGTGAATGGTATAACGACAGGGACAAGCTCCTCAGGTCGCCTCAGGAAGGTTCTGCGATACCGAAACGGTGGACTGCCTACGTGACGTTCGTCGCCGAACTCTATTATCGACTACGTCCCCAACGCCTTATCACGCCGAGGTGAGCTCAAACTGTTTAGCATTCTTCCCCCGATAATCGTTCATCCTCTCCTCGGGCTCGCACCGATCTCACGAGCCTATTCCCTCTATTGATACTCGGCGACTCCCACTACATTATCCCGGCTTCCCGTCTGACACAAGAAGCCGTCTGTCCCTTCCGGAGCGTGGAGGCTCATCAGTGGCTTGATCTGTCTTTGATTACACCAACTCGTTCCCCGGTCTCTTCCTGCAGTGTTGCTACTCGAATCTTTTGTTCGGAGCCTCTTTCAAAAAACTCATCCCCGACGAGCCGGTCAGCAAGATCGTTTCTTCAGTCGCTGTTGCTCCCCCTTCTCCTTCAGCTATGTGTTCCTGACGCTATCCATCTCGTGGAACATTTGGCTGGTCGCGAGACCCGCCGGTCGTTTGTCCGCCCGCAATTTTCTCCGAACGTCTGACCTCGAGGCTTGCCGCTGGCTTTTTTCCTCCGCGTGTCACATTCCGCTTCGATTTCATCGGGGACTGTCCTATTGACAAACGCTTTTCTCCCGCTAGGGCGGTGACGTTATGTACGCTATTGTACGACTGCCTCGAGTTGCTGCTAAAGCCGACCTCGCTCAAGAACCCGACTGAACTTGAATGTCTCCGAACTGTTCTGTCGGTCGTCGGTAAACAAATCGATGCTGACGCACCACAGAGGTACGTATCAACGGCTCATTCCGGACTCACACTATGCTCTACCATGCCTCTTCAATGCCATCCGGAGTAGCGGAAAGCGATCCCGTTTCGATGTCAAAACGACGTCTCCCCGTTTCCTGATCCAGCTAACATCCGGACCCGCTTTCAGAATGAACAATCTCGTGAATCACATGCGCGATTCTTTCCTCGGAACCATCTCAGCTAATAACCAGCAGATGCGAAAAAGTATACTCGAATTGATCGAGCTCCGGGCCTCCTCCTGGCAATTCGACCTCCAACAATCCATGTACTACTTTCCCTACACCAAATAGGTCCATCGTACGCGTGAGCGCATACGAGGAGCGAGCGGTCCCCAGGCGATAGTCGAGGGAATCCCACGAAATTCCGGACAAGGTAGTGAAACATCGAGCGATCGAACTCAACTCTGGAGCGAATGGAGCCGTAGAAACACGCAAATACATGCCGAGGCTCATGACGGATAGGAGCCGCACGAGAGTGTAGCTCATCGATCGCTTTTCGCTCACGCACTGCTAGACGAGTAGGGGAGAACATGAGAGGAACAAAAGACGGGTTCAACGGACGCGCATCACCGATACCCGCGAGAGGCTTTGTTCTCTCAGCAGTACCCGGAACGCGTTCGGTTGCACTTCGCAATGTCGACGTACGCCTCCAAAAGTCGGTGGAGGCTCGCCGAGTACGAAGCCGATGCAGAGCATGACTCTCGAAGCTTGGCGACCGAAGCCATTGATCTCGAGCGATCGAGAGGAGAGTGGACATCCGATCACATTTTAATCACAGAACGAAAACGAACGGACGTCGATTTCGATATAGATATTTGTGCGCAACGCTCCCAGTGCGTCGGGCCGAAGCGCTGTGTATCTCACGGCGTTGGATGGTTCAGGCGACCCTCACGGTTAGCGTTCACGAACTTTTCCTAAGGCGCGTCTGTCGCGTTTTCCGACCATTAGTTGCTCTCTTTTCGGGGTTGAGAGCATAGGGACTTCCGCGAGAGTAATTTTGTATCTACCTTCCTTTGACAACTTCTAGAACAAAAAAATACACAAGTAAGTGAAAACATCTTATCGCGCTCCAACCATACTCGAATAGGATCCTATTGTGGCAGCCGGTGCGGCGGACCACCTTGTTACAATCACGTCTCGTCGACAGACGATCCCTCCCTTAATATGAGGGCCTCGTCAGCCTCTGACTACGCGGAAGGAAAAGTCTCTGTAAGTTAGCACCTTTCTCTCGGATAGACCCATCTTTGAACGACCCAACCCAAACGAATTACAATGTAAAAAAAAATATTTCTCATGCCCCATGCGGGTCTCCTGTGAAGTCTGGAAGCAGACATGAATACCTTTACATGCAATAGACCACAACTATCCCTCCCAATCCTGAAACTCAGTCACATAGCTTGATGAGAATACATATGTCTGTATATTTCTATTGTGGAATTCTGTAGATGGGCTGCTTGTACCTTGGTTCTATCACATTGGGAATGAATCGAGATCTTACTCGGCGACTTCGTAGTGGCCCTACCCGATTGTTATGTCGATGAGTTGAGAGCTGAGACTATGAAACGAAACGCTTTGATGAACGGGTCCATTTCAGTATTCTGTCATGTGTTTGTAACGACCCCATCTGGATCTTCATGCAATGATGGGCGATCCTTAGATATATACTCGAAGACTTCAAGCGCTTCATCACTGTCTACACACGACCGGTATCATTCCCGAGAGTTCTTGCCTTTTCCACTTTCACAAAACCTTCGCCTCATGCGAGGATACTACGGACCGAGTGAAGTAGTCTACAGGAAACACATACGAAATGGTGCTCTGCGAGAATACTTGATAGTAGTTCAGATCGCTGCGATGCGGTATGGCGAAAAGGAAACGCCAGTTAAGCGAGTATTTTGCGAAATCGCTTTCATTCGCTCTAGCGGGTCGTATCAATCAACTTGACGGAGAGATGTGCTCTCGATTCCGACGCAAGGAGTTCTGCCGGGAGAACACCTGGCGCGCCGTTCCCCGACGCGAGATACACTCTGAGCATCCTGGGGTTGGGCTCTTCGACTACGGAGCCAGTTGTTATCATCAAGTATTTTTTTAGCTAAATACCCACACATCGACTAGGGAAGCCTGGGACAGAGGGAGAGATGAATGCAAGCGCCCGGTAGGTGTCTCGGCACGCGAAGTGGAGGCCCTTGATCGGAAAGGTGGGCAGGGCTGAGCGAGTGATGGGCTAACCGATGATCCCGATGAGATCTCATAGCAATCTCATGGTACATTGCGCCCCGGTCACACCCGACCCAGCCTCAAGCGTATGCGTCGCGGAACGAGAAGGCATCTCTGTCTTGAACGATCAATCATCACTCCAACAATCAATTTACCTATCTGTTTACGAGTCCCCCGAGCTGATATATGAGTGGAACAAGCTACTGATTATCCTAGAAATATTTGAGATACCGATAAGCGGGCTCTTCGCAGCCACACTCAATTATTACGGGGCTGGCGCAAAATTCTTTCCGCGATCCAGCGGCTGCCCCACGCTCAACCCAAGCAATAAGCACTTCTTGATGACAATGATTACTATATGTACTACAATACAATTATAAGATAAATTACATAGCATTGCTGATGATCTTGAAAACCATGATAACCATGATATTCGCTCGGGACACGCCGATTGGGAAAGGGCCTGCATTCTGTTGAGATGATGGAGATGCAGCTCTCCGAGTAAAAGCTAATCACTCACTGCAACATTTTTGCGCACTGCGTGGATCCTCCATCGCGGTGGAGCAAGTTCGGAAATTTAACGAATTCGATGTAATATTTCTTAGCATCTCCTGATCTGACGATCTAACATCACGCTGTTATGGATGATGAGCCACGATGCATCGATTGTCGCGAAAGCCGAATCACTTTCGCGTGAGTTACACTTGAGCACCCCAGAAACGAAGAACAGCAAGAAATCTAGTGCTTCTCTCTAGATCTCTCCCAAATCGAGCCCCACGGTCACAGCTCCGCGTGGAATACAGTCAAACGATATCTGGTCACCTCGATCAGTCGAGATTTTCAATATTGGATTCCAATACGTCAGTCATGGAATATTGGTCCTTGTCTGCCCTCAGTGTCCCTCTGCCTCCCGGAGCTTTCTCTACTGAACAAGTATCTCTGAACGCGCGAATCGTTCTTCTACATATGTTTCACCGAGAAAATTGTCGCTCCTCCTAGTAGGCCCGCAGATATATTGGTATTTGGAGCCCCCCAATCCTCGTATTTGGCAGAATATTAATACGAGGAATGGGGCGGAAGTGCTACCATAGACCAGACCGAGAGGAAGTCCATGAGGACTATGAATATTTCAACTCAAATGAAATGGTATCAAGATCGAAATTTTACAGTCCTCCCACTCAACGGGTATCACGGGCGCTATTTGGAAGAGTAATGCTCTAATGAAATATCAACCGGCTCTTCCAGACGAGAGTGAGCTCTTGTCTAGGAAGGAGGCAAGGATACGTACGCGGTTCAGACTTCAATCGAATCCTGGTTTCTCCGCTCTGGTCCAGGTAGCATCCGGTTTACCGTGATAAGCAGCGAAATCGTGTGGATAAGGCACTTGGAATCCTTTCAGATATGTGCCCCCCCCCCTTGGTGGCGGCAACTCCTTAGAACCCACCTCGATGATGAAAAGGTTTCTCTGATCATGATGATCAGGGGGGGAGTCCGGATGGCTTCCCAATCCAAATCCGAATCGTGTCTCGAATTTATTAGCCGAACCCCGTGGGACTTCCATTCTGAGAGAGATCCCTACAACGAATAGATGAGAAATATGCAATACTTATCAGACGATCATTTAGGCATACCTCACGTGACTCCATAATCACTAGCCTCTGAACACACTCACAAAATTCGGTCAAGGAATACGCTATGCAACCCTCTGCGAGACGGTGTGATACAAAGAATTACACATTCACCTCTACATAAGTAATAAGTGCTCCTCCGATAACTACCATTACCTTAGATGAGCAAACAGAATGATTGGAGGACAAAGTTATAAAATAATATACATACAAACGACTGAGACTGCAACATCGAATGAGCGACTGATAACAAAGATTTGAAAATCACTTCCATCATCTTTGTACAATATGTAGGATAAGGTACCGCGGAACGGTCCACATTGATACATGCATATATCCCTTGACGGCATTGTCTGCAATAGAACACTCTGATGGAAAAGAATCATTTTTTGCAATATAATCTACTATTATCGTGGAAGCAAGTACTGACATACATATAGTTAGATGGGCTAGTCTTTTATCAGTGCCAATGGATGGATTTGTGAAGAATTCAATAAACTTGGAGGTCATTGCATTGTACGTTTATCCGACTCATTATTAAAACTACATCTTTCCTCAACTCGACCGTGGAATGCGCGTCTCTGGATTTCCTCGTTGCTTAGTCTCCGCGACGGGGAAGATTTTCCACAAGTGTGGAAGTACAACTCAAGCTTCATCGTAGAGCTCAATAAGCAATTTATTCGCTGAAATTGACGAATCTCAGAACGACTCCCACCGACACTCAACAATCGGAAGGCAAGCACGACCGGAGAACAAAACGAACAAGGACTAGAACTTCAATACACAGGAAAATCCGGTGAGTTTAACGATGTGACTAGACGGTAGTCTCGTCATCAGCTCCCAATAATCCACACCCACGGCGCAGCGGACTCCCGGTAAGGGTAAATTTCGGAAACTAACGCGAGATCATCTCTGAGAGATTCTCGGGGGGTTCGGAGCGCCCCAATGAGGAAGAAGACTTGACTGCGGATGGTGGGGTTCTCAGTCGTCATCATCGTCCGAAGGCACGAAGATGTCATGTTCCTCCAGGAAAGCAGCGCTATATTTGGATAGGGATGCGCCGATAGTCACCCCGGGAACGACGACGAGGAATACCTGATGACAGAAAAGATCATCATCCCGCTGTTCCTGTGTTGGGGCTTGGGAGCGTTCCAATGGTGGAATTCCTCATAGCTGGAAATCGCTCACCTTTGTGAGAGGGAAACTCATGATTTCGGGCTTCGCACGGTAGGCTCCGGTTCTCGTACCAACCATCCCTTCGTAGGCTTTGACCTCGAACGCTCGATCTAACTGGCGCGTGATGGCGCGGAACAATCTGCAAGAAAAAGTCCACATCGAAATCCTTGCTTTCCAAACTGCAGAGAACAGATTTCGCTCTTCCTTCGCTGCGCCGCGGCATCATATCAGCTTGTATCAAGCAAGATTCAGCTGGGTCAGGGTATCGCAAGCATTTTCGAAGAGTTCTGACGAATGTTTACCGAGATAATCGACTCGTACGTATATCAGTTCCACTCAAGATACGCATCGCCTCTGCACTTGTCCGCGATTCCGTAAGCGAATATTGCTCCAATAATATGAATCCGGGCATCGCGATCACAATATTGTCCTCACTCGGTCAAGTCTTTCCGGAACTGAATCAGCTCTCTTTTCGATGATGGTGATGCATGGTCGATGGAATCGCTACAACTCTAGCTTCCTCGTCACGACTGTGAGCGGAATGGTAGGACGGGACCATTTCCATGGAACAAATCAATTCCTGCTCATTGCATTGGCTTCTCTGGTCGGATCCTCAGTCAGCTGTCAGCGACTGACCCCTCGACCCGAACGCGGAGCACTTCGAGATGGCCGCTCGTTTCCCACGCGAGATGTGAATGGGACTCGGACCCCGACTAAAGAGCAAGAGCATGCATGTTCGGAGTCGAAATCGAATCCTGGAGCTATCGTCCAGTCTAGAATCTTAAGAGCGATGATTTCCATTCTCAATCAGCTGTAGATTATCCTCTCGCGCGCGGATCCCTGGATAACTCGGGGTCATCTCGGTCCCACACCCGGATGTACTCACCCTCTCATGGCCATCCTTATTCCGAACGCCGGCGACGATTATTGGACGAGGCTCCGACTCCCAAGTGCGTGTCTGTATCGGAGTGCAGTAACAATTTTATTCCTATAAATATTTCTATCATCATCACACTCTCAACCCTTCTCTCCGCATAGAAGCCTCGTTTTTAGTACCCACCACTCAGAGAATCACACAGGGAGCGCACAATTGCTCGGACCTCATCTTCTCCCGGCTGATAGAATCGTGATTCTAATTCGTACACCATCCCACAAGATGTCAAGGATCAATGTAGTCGAAGCGATTTCTGATGAAGATGAGGCACGGGAGGCTTCTATCAGAAGTTTTCGCCCCGTTCTCGACAGAGCGCCGGCAGCCTGAGAGCGGTCCCCCGGCTGGCCGAACTCCCAACTCGAGATAGCCCGTCGAGTTCTTATCTTTTTTTCTATCTCTAGAAACGACGATCTCGCTACCTTGTCTTATCTAGAAGCTGATAATCTATAGAGCGAGACAGGACGCCGCAACCCAGTGCCACTCTCGAACATGTCGCTGTGCAGAGCACTATTCGCGCCCTTGAGGTAAGAATTTTCTGAATTTCAAATTAATCACCGCATCGAGTCCCTGATATCGAACAGAATCCCCTGCCGGGTCCCCGATTGATTCCCGGATCAGGTCCCTGGAGTCTGCAGGAGCCCTCGCTCCTAATCGCATTCTCCGCGCGGGAACAACACCGTTGCTCATGGGGTGCTCTATTGACCTTACGCATTGCAGACTTGTTTTCCAAAGCTTGGACTGATGATGCTCCGACCCGCTCTGAGAGCTCGAGCTTTCCTTACAGGACCGGATTCCAAAACCGTTTTCTGTCGACCACAAATCGGTGTTTGGAGCGATTATACACAGAGAAACACGAATGGGTTGATGTCGATGGAGCCGAAGGAAAGGTCGGCATCTCGGACCACGCACAAGATGCACTCGGCGACGTGGTTTACGTTCAGCCTCCAGAGGTATGTTCACCCCTTCCCGTGTGAAAACTCGTCTATTCCACATGGAGGCTGGCGAGGCCCCTGAGAAAATCTCGCAGTCTCATCGGATTTCCCTGGAGTGAATTCAAGGTCCACAGGATCCCTCAAGTCTTCACTATGAGCCTCGATTTGCAGGTCGGGCAGGAACTCACCAAGGGTGGCGAATGTGGTGCCGTCGAATCCGTCAAAGCAGCGTCTGAGATTTATTCCCCGGTATCCGGCATTGTCACCGAAGCGAACAAGGCGCTAGAAGATAAACCAGCTTTAATTAACTCCTCGTGTTACGACGAAGGTGAGCAATAATCGCGGTGTTTCCAAAATGTTCCGGGGAAATCGCCTTTTCTTCGCTGTTTCTTGCCAAGACCCCCATGTCTGGGTGCGACTTGCGATCGAACCTCTGTGCGATTCGCAGGGCTGACCGGCCTTGCCGGATAAATGAGAAACCGCCAATCTTATCGAGAATCTAAGAGCAAGGGTGCACCGCAGTCGGTTAATATACTGAAGACTGCGAAAATGTTATCTATCTCCCAGACTCTCAGCGGCCTTATTACAGGTTGGATTTTCAAGCTGAAGTTGACGAACCCCGATGAGTTGAAAACCCTCATGTCGGAAGGAGCCTATGAGGAATTCCTGAAGACATCCGATCACTAGGATGCCCAATCGGAGAGCCGATTAGCCTGTACATATATATTAATAAATGTTTGCTCACTTTCCGATAAGTCTGCCGATCTGTCTCTGCATGTTTTGGTTATATGGTGATGGACTTGGGGAACGCTCCGCGCCTGCTTTGGTTCCGCCCTTCGCTGCTCAATACTAGGCGCCCCTTGAGAAGGAGCATATTCACCATCACTAATGGTCCAAATTTAGAGCTCCCTCGTATCGAAGCAAATTCTCGCGAAAGCCGACCCCGATTGGGGACGTAGTCCGATCGGCTCCATCACGGACTTTCGGTTTGCGGTGGGCGTCAGCGTCAAAGTCTCGCTCCTGAGCTCGTAAGCTCAATCGAGCCCTCCATTGGTTAGGATCATTAGGCAAGCGAGAAATCCTCAGCTCCGTGCCATGACTCCATACATAGGTCTTATCTCTCCGTAAGCTAACGAAAGTTGAATCATGTCCAGTGGACGCTGTCTTCCCCCGCTTGACCAGAAGCGAGGCTTCTACTAATCGTCGATCGGAATCGAATTGCAGAGAACGCCGGCGACATCTTCCAGGGGCATCGACTGTATCCAGCTGAAGGCATCAGCAGTTTCGGGGGCGTAGGTTACACCACTTCCGCCACTGGATCTGCTATGTCTTTTTGTCGTTCTAACATCTGAGAGGGACTGAGCGGGTGAGAACCGTGGAGTCGGAACCGCGTGTAAAAACCGGAGATAACCGAGTTTTTCCTCCTCTCGTTTGGGACTGATACCTAGCGGAACTGATCAAGAATTAAGAGACTAGCCATTCTTCTTGGCCCATGGAATCAGTCGAATTAATTTTATTCCATCAGATAGGTATATTTGCCGAGTTCAGTCTCCGTATTCGCGGTACGGTCCATGTCGGGAAGTGACCAGAACTGCCCTCCCGAATATATGTAGGTGGCCTGATTATTCGGTCCAGAGGGCCTACCTGGCGAGATGTCATGTGGGGGTTTCTAGGACCCGGGTCGACCTACGAATGCCGCGCTACCTCGTCTAAATCGCGAGGATCAGTTCTGGTGCTTCCCTTCTTAGCGCGCATGAGAGAGACATTCAGCCATCAGAAAAATATCGGCCTTGATCCTTACTCATCTTGGAGCATATCAATAATGGTTGCTCAGACGCCGGTATTGATTTGTCCCTCGGAACCGCGGTAGGAACCGAGAAAACCGGTCGGTTCTGGATCCGAGGAAGTTGGCCGGAACCCGCGGTTCCAGAATCTCGGGTAGGGACCGCTGGAAGCCCTACCGGGCACTGAGAATGGAAGGTTTCCCGAACCTGAATCAGGCTCGGTGAGATCCAACCGTTGCTTGAACTTCGTTACGAACTCGGAGACACAACCGGATCAACACTTGCCACGAGGGTCGAACTTTGAAAGATTATTCGTCCCTGGGGGTCGCTCTCTCTGCGAATTCTGCGATTTTCCGCAGTTCCGAGGGAATTTCGAGGTTTCCTGCGAATTCCGAGTTTAATTTCGCGACACTTCACAATTGCAGCGATATCATGCCGTGAAGGATTCACATCCCCATCGATCCGGGGTGCTCACGACTGGGAGCACGAGAACGTCGAGTCCTTCGCCATTCCGTCGGAGGAGAGCAAAAGTGCTCACTTCCCTCGGATATATGCTAGGATCCGACGTCAGCAATGACGATCCATTTTGAGATTTGGCGCCGTTGACAAACGCGACGCTCGCAGCGCCCTCTCACCGAGACCGCTGGTCGGAGCTGCAGAGTGGTTTCGATTTCTTTTTCGTGTGGCTTCTTCCACGTGCCGCCAGTTCAGGTACATTTCAGCATTTTTGAGTGGAAAACATGAATTTGAAGCGATAGGACCGACCAGGCATCCCGCACGGCACAGCCCGGTCTCGACATTCACTCAGGAGAGGGGTCTTTGGGTCTCGGCCTCAGATAGAACCGGTAGTGGCATCGTGTAGCCGCATGCTGACTTCAACAACAATCGAGAATTTCACGATTCCGTGCTTGTGACTGTGTTCCAATTATTCCGGTGACGAATCTTTGACGTTCGAGAGTGTTCGGGAGAGCTTCGATGGCAGACTCAGTTCTTGTGGATGATTATGGAACTCGTCGAAATTCACCCTCTAAAGTCGGGGTCGAGTGTTTCACGAACGGGAAGGCTGACACCTGAATTTGTTTTCAGCTGAGAACCAACCATGGGTCGCATGCACGCCCCCGGGAAGGGTATCTCGCAGAGTGCCATCCCGTACCGTCGCTCAGTGCCGAACTGGCAGAAGCTTTCAGCTGAGGATGTCAAGGAGCAGATCTATAAGCTGGCGAAGAAAGGTATGACTCCGTCACAGATCGGTGTCATTCTTCGAGACTCGCACGGCGTCGCGCAAGTTAAATGGATCACGGGCAACAAAATTCTGCGAATCCTCAAGGTTAGTTTCATGGCTGCGATGCTCCTCAAGACAAGAAGTGATACGCTGGTCGCTGTGATTTCGCTCTTTCGTTAGTGGTGGAGCTCCGAGTTATTCACGAGCCGATCTGTGCATTCCAGAGCAAGGGTCTCGCCCCAGACCTCCCTGAGGATCTGTACCACCTGATCAAGAAGGCTGTCGCCATTCGTAAACATCTTGAACGCTACAGGAAAGACAAGGACTCGAAGTTCCGTCTTATTCTCGTCGAGTCCAGAATCCACCGCCTGGCTCGTTATTACAAAACTAAGAGAGTTCTAGCTCCAACCTGGAGATACGAAAGCTCAACCGCATCCGCTCTCGTGGCTTGAATAAATCCACGAGGTTCTCTGGTGTCACGTAGCGAATCGTCTCTTTGTTGTGATAGCTTTAAAAATCATTCGATTGAGGGGACGGGCTTGTCCGCTGATACCCGATATACTGAACGTTCCGCGAAATGCGAAAAGGGGAAAGGCTCTGATCCCTATGAGGGTCGATGCGGCCGCCTCCAGTCTGCGGAGCTAGAAGCGCCGATGCGACGAGGATCAACATGAGCGTCAGAGAGGGCGAGCTCCGAGAGAAACATTCGGAAGTCTCATGATGATAAGACACGGATTCTTGGGAACTCGTCTATCGAACATCTGGAAGGGAGCCAGGATTCACCATCCCGGTGTCGACGGCATGATTTCTAATACCCTCTGCCACCCTCCCCTGACGGGACGACTTCCACGGAGGACTCATCCTACATCCCATCCTCCTCGCTGTCTGTGCAATCGGCTTGAGCTGGCTACCTACGAGAACCTCAGGAGTCGCACCCCGCGCGCGAGGAATCGGCTGATTTTTCCGGAGGCACCCCCGATCTGCTGTAAGTCCTAACCTTCATCCCCTGCTCCTAATCATTGGTTTACGGGATAAAGGGGAAGGAAGAGAGAGGAGACAACCCACACCTCGAACCGATGATCCTCGATAATTATTGATAATAATAATTATCGACGCAGCGCAATTAATCTGATGACCGCAGCTGATGCCATGCTCTCCGTTGAAATGCGATCGTCGAAGAGCTGCCTATCTCTGAGGGTCTTGTAGTTGCTTGAGGCGATTACCGTCAGCTACTCCTATATCCAATTCGATTCCTAGATTCGATCTGATTCCAATCCTCCACCGATTTCGTGACTCCCGCGACGGAATGCATGAAGGATGAGCATCGCATACCCATCCCCGGGAGATCTGATCTTCGATTCGAGGAATTACGGTCCTTCATCTGACTCCGATACCCATATCCGATCCACGCGTTCCTCGGTTGGAGGAAAGCGTTGTCCTTGCGCCTCGTTGCAAAACTTCCGCGCTCAGAGAGCTAATGGACTTATTCTACCCGTGCCTCTGACCAGAATTGCATCGCCCGCTTTCCCCTTCGGTGCGGGTCCATGAGCCTGCCTAGACGCACTTCCTGAATTCCCTATCATCCTGCACCCTTCGGTGACGATGCGAGCTACAGTTCTGATCTGGGGGTTCATTGAGTTTTCATGGACCTCCCACATGTCTTCTCTTCATTTATGTTACTCGACTCACAATCGGGTTAATGATTCGATGTGGACTGTGGCCACGAGCACACTCGCTGGCTGCGAAGGAATCCTTAGCATGTAGGCCCTGGATCATCCCGATCTCTTGAACAGAGTAATGGATTCTCTGTGTCTAGAAACCCCATAGATTCCCGGAAGATATCCCAGGATGCGAAAGAGCTGTACAGACTTGCTGAATTTATTACGGAAAACATGCTATAATACAGGCACTTTCAGCTCCGTTTCTTGCCATCAGGTCTGTATTTGAGGTACTTTTTAGCATCGAAGCCGACTTTGAGTTCTTCAACTTTAGCAGCTTTCTCCTTCGGTCTCCTACTCAGAAGAACCATTTTCTGTTCCTCTGGAGTCAGCGCGTCGAAATCAAGAGGAAGAGTGATTGCTTGAATCGGTTCATGGTACCTTGAATGTGAATCAATGGGAAATTTTTAGTGTGGGCTCATTACCACGTTGAGGTGTGTACCGATCCACAGGAGCGAGCTCAAGCTCAGCGGGAGAGCACACGGATTATCGAACTTCTAGCAAGGCGAAAGTTTCCGCGCGGGGCATCGATGAAGGACAGACTCCCCATCAGGAGTTCCCGAATCGTACAATTGACGACTACAATTGAATCGTGCGTCGTTTCCATTACATGGAATCTGTACGCTCGATAATCCATTCTGAATTATTGTCGTTATCAATCGCGCGGCCGTATAAGGATGGAACACCATGCCCTGAGGGTGACTTGAGCGCGAAACCGGTGTACCTTATCGTGAACGTAGAGCCGTCGGGTTGAATTAGTGTTGTTGGATAGGTCCTAACATAAACTGAGCGCTTCGGTCTAGTGATGAACGCTTCATTTGTATTTTGTAGAGGCCGGTAAAGATGGAAAAATCTTTTGCACACGCCGCTCATGGGTGCCGCCATTTTGTGCGGGACAGCCGGTCATGCGCGGATGAGGGCGAGCGGCCCCCTAGCGGTCGACGAAAAAATCTGGAGAAACTCTAAGCCTTTCCTGGAAACACGGAGCCGAAATACCGGGGCCCGGCCCCTTTCTGATCGAGGATGGGCCGAGTGATTTCCGAGATTCTCTTAGCAGCCAGAGCGCTGAGCGTATTTTTCGACTCAGTGGTTGGACTTTCCGTATAAAAGGCCTAAGCGCATAGCTGCGCGTGCCCTCTCCCGACACTCCAGTTCTGCGTTGCCTTTGGCCGATCGTCCTTCTAGTGTCACACAGGACGCAGAGTGCATTGGGTGGTGATCGTGTGTCGTGTTTTGCCGACAAACAACAAAAATCCAGAAAGATGTACGCCGCTAAGTTGGTTGCCCCTGCCCTTTCGAGGAGCCTAGCTACGCGCACCGTGCGCCCCGCTACCCAAATCCTGGCTCAAAGTTCATCCAACAACCAGAGCCAGACCACACTTGCGCCCGTGTCCTCTGTGTTCGGCACCTTGGCTCCTTTGAGGCCTCTGCACACTTCCAGCCCCGTGAGGGACATCGACTCAGCTGCCAAGTACATCGGTGCGGGAGCCGCCACCGTCGGAGTGGCCGGATCTGGAGCTGGAATCGGCTCCGTGTTCGGATCTCTGATCATCGGCTACGCCAGGAATCCATCTCTTAAGCAACAGCTCTTCTCGTACGCTATCCTGGGATTCGCCCTGTCCGAAGCCATGGGACTTTTCTGTCTTATGATGGCCTTCCTGCTGCTGTTCGCTTTTTAGATTTTATCCCCTCCATCGATACGGTCTTCAGCATAGAACCGCCGCTCGACGAGCCATCTCCACCAAGAGCATCGAGAACTGAATGGTGTGTGAATGCTACGAGCACCAAATGAAAGGGGTTAGGATGTATGTAAAAGTTTTATGAGAATAAAAACTCATTAAAGATCGAACTTTTCAGACTTCTACTTTCGGCCGTCCAAGCGGCCCAAACATAACCTTTTAACCTTGGGTGTAAAATACAAACGAGCGAGATATATGTGAAGCCCGGCGAGACTCATGATCTGCGCACCCTCGAAAAATTCCTTCAATTCAATCTGTTTCAATTTAGCTTTATTCTCTCAGGTCAGGTCTACGTCCTGCCGGCGTTTTCTAGATCGGTTTCATTCCTCGTGCTGCGTTGCTGCTGTTGGGAAGCGGCTGCCTCTCCGGCCATTTCGGGTCGTCTGCTAGGCTCGAAAACACGACGGAGGAGGCTCGCCGATCGGGATTTTCACCGGCTTGGAACGTAGGGAAGAGGTACTCGCGAGATATCTCTACAAGGCGATCCTGAATCCTGGGATTCCACATCCCCACCCATCGTCTGACGATCGTTGACGGATGATGGAGCTCAATGATGATTGACCGATGATAATGGGTTCCCTTCGCGTCCGAGGTCTCGAGCCGCACATTTTGCTATCGGGACCCGTGGGATTCCATTCATGAACTGAGCTTCACGATAGTGGGTCGCGAAGCCAGACCCTGTAGCCAGATAGGCATGAGAAGAGCGACCCTCGAAGCGGGAGTCACCTTCACTGATCTCTATCTACAGAAGTCAATATGGGATTTCAGGTTGATATGTGAAATTCCAGTGAAGTTTCGGATGTAGCATGGGTTTCGTTTTGGAATGCCCAAATCACATGCCCCTCTCGTTACTTTGAGAATCGAGCTCATGCATACAGCCTAGCGAAGGGACTTCCGTTCATCGAGAAACATCCCTCCGAGAAATTCACAGGTCATAGCTTGCTGTTAGTATTACGTAGATAAGCTTCCGAAGTGATGTCCTTGGGTTGTATTTCTCCGCATGGAGAAGATGACAGCTTCTGCATAACGTGATTTTTCCCCCCGGAAAACCTCCATTTCAGTGCGATCTAGCGGACATTGGGAGTGAAGAATTTTCTCCAAGAGGGTTTTGAGATGAGGGATTAAGGAGAAACTCTTCACGCCGATACTTGAGCATCCATGCCCAAAGCAGCAGGCTTGACCACAAAGCACGAGTCACTCGCCTGAGGGAGTTCTCTCGCAGTCGGTTGCCGAGCTGCTTGCGAAAGAGTCAATATTCTGAGCGCGCCTGCTGGGCAGTGCCGTGTTCCTGCTTCTCAATCATGATATTCAGTGAATGGGCACTTCCGGGGGCTATGGGTTTCGGGGTGTGAATCTAGGCTCTAGACTCTAGATTTTGGAGTCATTCTAGAGCCAAGAATCTTCGACCCCCCCCCCCCGCCCTGCCTCGACAGGCAATACCATCTCATGTTCGGAAGACGAACCTGAAGACCGACAAGATCCTACGCGGGCGGAATGCTCGGCCAGCAAGCTGACTGGATCGGCCGCCTGAATGTCCCCGATCCTCTCCTCCCGGAACGAATCGATACTTCGGAAAACTTCCCTCATACGATTGCTCCTCTGTCGGCAGAGGATTAGCGATTCTCATCGATTTGTCAGACGTCAGGACTCCGACCCCTATCCCAGTTGCACAAGATTCCCATCGCGGACAAACGGAAAAAAAATCAAAGCGAAATATTCCGCCCTTCATAGATACATCGGAAAAGAAAAAAAAGGTGGTAAGAGCCTAGGGACGCAGTCGCGATCTCGGAAGATGCAGCGGAGGAGGATGAGCCAGGAACGGCGACACAATCACCCTCCTGTAGCGAGGAAATCCCCAATTAATATATGCGAGAGAGAATCTTGCCTCACTCGGGGCCAACACAATTCATGCATCTTTGTTTTCAGTCCTGATGACTGATGAATGATGATCTTCATTATGATTTCATGCTTCGTTTATCCATCAAAATTTTCCCGGCCTATCGACGAGATGATCGGGTTGGTTGCGAGAGTTTGGAAGAAGGAATCATCTCATTCCGCGCGAAGACACGCAGTCAAATAACAGTCTCTGAGAGAAATCAGAACTCTCCGTGCCGGGAGAGTGCTGCCATCGACTGCGAAGGGTCGCGAGAGCGGGTCAGACCGATGAAGTTCTGCGAAATGCTCTGCCGGCTCTTCGCTCATTCAGTGGCGGCGGCCCGATGCGTGGGAGCCTGGGACGCTCCCGCTCGGGAAGTCGGTATCGCGATTAGGATTTCGTTTGAGCCAAGATCAGAAGCTGTGCGGCCTCATTCATATCAAAATTCTGAAGCTATTTCGACCTGGAACACGGAGTCGATCATCCCTTTCTGCCATTGGCAGCGTTCGGATTCGCCGCGTAGATCAGAACGATGATTATTCAGCTCGAGATGCGGGCAGACGAAGATGACCTTCCGGCTTAACATCCCTCAATCTCTCGGAGTCTGAGAACTTCCCTTGATGCGGCTTATCCGTGCATGCATGCATGCATAAATTCACTACTCGAGAGGTCAGATTCAGGACATATTCTGCCGTTGGTTTCCACTGTTCGATGTCAGCTGTGAGAGGCGCGGTGCGACATTCGACAATCGCTCCGGAGCTTCTGGCGACGGATTCCCCCTCCTTCCGGCAGAGACTTTGGGAGAGCCATGCCTCATTCATGAGTCATGATTGGGGATGTAAATTTTTCGCGGACCGCGATTTTTCCGCGAATTTTCGCGGAAATTTCCGGCTACTCCCCATAGAGTTTCAATGAGGGCCGCGAATTTGGCGGAAATTTTCCGCGAAAAACTTACATCCCTAGTCATGATGCCTTGACTTTGTGAATTCGTCGAAAGACGGGAAGCACTCCCGGACTCTCCGGCATACTGTGAAAAGTTAGGCAGAGACCTCCTCTCTAATCCGCCGCTCCGATTTTCCTTTATGTAGACCAGCTCTCTCGACGCCGTCGGAGCAAACGCCACGCAAGGCTCAAGGACCAAGACTCCCGGAAATTGAGCATTCAATGTTGGGATCAGCGTCGCGGAACTCGCGCCGGGGATCATCTCGATAACAGAGCACGTCTAGTTCTCATCCCAGTGATCATCGATTCCGTGACCGATACAGAGAAATCTGACCCCTCGACGGCCCCGACGTATACCATTACGAAAACTCGTAGACAGTTTGGTCAAGGTCCGCCGAAGGTCTTATGACGATTCCGAGATCGAGATTGAATCCAAGATCTTGGGCGTAAGCATGAAAACAGCGAAAGGGCAAATTGACAACAGCCCGCCAAGAGAGTCCGCAAACTCGGCGAAATGCCGATCACTTGTCTAAACAATTTCTTCTTGATCCGGGGTGCGAGTCGCAGGTGTGGATATTCCTATTCGGTTTTTTCCGATGATTCCTCCGGAACCCTTTGAGTTTGGCGAGCGAAAAAATGTGAGAATCATAAACTAATTCCTGGCCGATGCTCGTGCGCATATTCACGCGTCTCCACAATCAAAGATCGTAAGAAGTTCCACGGTAGTCACGGCTTGATATTCCGAACTTCGGGAGCGCTGAATCGATAAGGGTCTGCGCGGCTACAGGTGCTCCCTAGATGTCAGCACTTGCAAAGACGGCGGCGCCACTATCTGCTGGACCTCGGCTCATCCCCAACTTTCCCTTGGCCCGCCAACTTTTCGGGGTCCTTCTTTGCAGGCCTGCCATTGACTCGGGAACTCCTGCTGAGCTGCGGTAACCCACCTGTTGGTTGATGAAGTGAATCCACTACCTCATCTAAGGTGAGTCCGAAATTCCTCTCTAGTCATGCTGCAGATATCTAACTATACGGCGAAATATCAGTGGAGTGCCCTATCTGTGGAACTTCAGCGCTCCTGACAGCTCTTCGCGAAGTTCGCCAAAGATATGAGCCCTCAGAGGTCACCCACGGCGAGGCTTAGGATCACTGAAAGCCAGTTCTTCAAAGAGATTCTCCAATCTGGTACTATTTGACGTAGCCGCATGAAGAAATGACTCTAGAAAAACATGAAGAGGTTATGGGTCAGATCTTTAGTCGGACCCACCGAGTACGGGAAGCGCTATGAAGTTCCTGACGATAAGCCTAACGAGGTGTCTCGCGATGATAGCGTGGAACAATCGAACGAGCGAGGGGCTCGCTCTTGCGCTTCTACGCGGATGATGGACTCTAGACGAGTCCCTCGAAGCTACTCGTCAACCTCCATTGTTATATCTAGAGGTCAGGAATCACAGTCGATGAGCATCGATTCATCCTTGCTGGAGGTTAGAAGCTCTTCGATGGGAGGATGATTCTCTGAGTCCGGTCAGTTATGCGGAGGCTCACAAGGGGAGACCCGCTCGGCACTGACTGACTCACTGAATGAATTAATTCCCTTCTCGGGCTGGGACTTATCGTCCATATAGATGAGCGAGAATCCATCTTTTGAGGGTAATGGTTGCGGATCGTATATCCCTATCATGAGCGAATTTTAGCGAAGTGATCAAGAGAGTTACTAAGGCCAGCGCTCCCAGGGATCGTCTCGGTTCTGTTTCAAACTTATCGGCCTTCCTCCACCGAATGGTTTGTGCTTTCAAAATGGGCTCTCGATTCCGGAGGAAAACCGCGATTCTGCTTTCGCTCCTCGATACGCTTCAATGTCTCCTTGGGATTCTTTTGGACTCCGACTCGAAGCTTAAAATGAGTCTCCGATTCAGAATTGAGTATCCGTCTCTCGGGGACTCCGATCCGAGCGCGTGAAGATTGACCCTCTTCCTTGATCGCTCGGAGCCCCAACACTGTCTGCAAACCTCATTTCCTCATACAGGGAGCTTGAAATTCGACGGAGGGATCCCTCCTTCGCTCCAGAGAAAGGAGTCGGAAGAAACTTCTCGCCTGAGACATCCCTCTTTTAGTCAGACGCAGCTTTTTCCACAGGATGACGGTTAGCGGAAACACGCAGACAACCTCCCTGCAGGAGTTGATCGCGCGCTATCGAGGAGACCGGAAGCTTGTGCTTGTAATAGTAGCGGTCGCACTGCTCTTGGACAACATGCTCCTCACATCTGTTGGTAAGTCCCCCCTGTCACGCTCGAGACATCCCACAGATAGCCTGACAAATCATACATTTATGGGCCGTCGGACGCTTCATATTTCTCGGCGGAGGCTCGAACCCTTGCCGTAGTCAACTCTTCCGCACCAACGGCATCGCTAGTCGGATGATTCGTGGAAAAAAGCTGAAACTTCGATTTCCATACGGCTCGTTCCTGACGAGCGGCCGCCTGGCTAGGCGCCTAATACATAGCTCCATCTCGTCTCTCGCTGTATCCGTTCACGAGCAACGGTCTGCGATCCTACTGAACTTTCGTACCGCCGGGAGCTTCGGGTAGATCCATCGGATACGGCAGGAAGATTCGATTCCAGGACGACAGGTGGGGTCGGATTCGTCCGATGAGTCAGGTTTCTCGGTCTCACTCACATACACAAGATTGACCTCGACCTCGGGAGGCTGAGTGAACTGAATGGATATCGACGTGATCACAGACCCTAAGAGCTCGAGGTCATGGACGGCTGCGGTTTCTCCAGGAGGTCTTCATACTAATTGAGGCCTTGATGTGCCAAGGAGAATGTCTGCTTTCTCTGCTGACTGATTGACTGAGTCGGTCGGCGACTCGACCCTCCGACCAACCAACCAACCAACCAGCCAGCCAGACAGACAGCCACCAGGGAACGAGAGAGCGGACCGCAACGGCGAAGTTCTGCGCTGTCGGCTCTTCACCGCGCAGGCTGATCGATTCCCGAGGAAGAATCTGCCTGGGGACTTGTGCGAGGAAAATCACCGTAGGCTGGAGCCAGGACTCAAACGAGAAGCTCCTGAATAGAAAATCCGACGATGCGCCTCGCGCGATGTGAACTCAACGCTGGCCCAGGTTTCGCACCGGATCAGGTGTTTTCCAAAAATAGGAACGCTTCTTCGGTCGGATAAGCCTTCCACAATAGGCTTTCACCGCGGCTCAGTCGTGCTCATGGGAATGATCTTGGCAGTTCCCGTTCAAACGTGTGGAGCTCTCAGGTGGCAGCCTGATGACTGGAATCTGGGACCGGGTCTGAAAAATGTCCCCTCTCAGACGTGCAGCACGATCGAAGAACCTTCCCCGTGAGGAAAACTCGAGAGAACTTCTCGACACCGCGTAGAGGAGTGAACGTATTGAGGGAAGGGACAATGAGTTTGTAGACAGGGGAAAGAAAATGTTAGAAACCCGACCGGAGGGAACGCGAACATCAAATCGTGTGCAAACAGAGGAGACGACTTGCTGACAGTCAGAGACCTGTTCAGAGTCCATTCCACGAGGAGTCGTCCGACGAAATCGATTCAGAGGGAACTCGAAAGGGCACGAAAAATAGATATTGCTCCGGGAGAAAGAGCCGATGCAATGTGTATACAACGCATCTGACGATCTATTCCAGTTCCAATCATTCCAAATTTCCTCTACGAAATTCACAAACGTGAGCTGTCGGAGCAGAATAAAACCTTAGAGATCATCACGCCGTCACCCACACCGAGAATGGTATCGTTCTCTGCCGATAATGCAACAGATCCGGGACCGGATCTCATAAATCATGTGATAAAACCCACCCGACCCGATGTCACGTAAGTTTAGACTCGATTCGAGGGGCCGAGAGAAGGGGTGTACAGATATCCAGAGAAATCGAGTGGGGAAACTCTATCGAGCGAGAACGGAGGTCTATGAGTTCATGACCATGCTTTAAGGTATTAATTTTCCAGAGAATACGGATCCGGACGGACTCTTGCTCCTCCGATAGATCGGAACGCGGCATCGGATGAGCTCCGTAAACAGCGACAGGAGGAAGAGGACGAAAGACTCCGTCATCGACTGCTCGAAAACGAAAACGTGGAAGTGGGTCTATTGTTTGCATCGAAACCGGTCGTGCAAGCCATGGTGAATCCGTTGGTCGGAGAAATCACCAATAGAATAGGATATACGGTGCCCATGTTCGCGGGCTTCGTCATCATGTTTCTGTCCACATTAGGCATGTACCCATGTTCCGGGACGGGATTTCGAAAATCAATCGTGTTCGCTCAATCGCTCGGGCAGACGATGCGAAACCGGACTTGATCGCTTCGAGCTATCGTCGAGCTGCGATCTAAGGAGCTTTTATCTCCACAGTGTTCGCGGCTGGGGCTTCCTACGGTACGCTGTTCTTCGCGCGAATACTTCAAGGCGTGGGATCTGCTTGCACATCCGTCGCGGGCATGGGGATGCTGGCCGATAAGTTCCCTGACGATAGGGAGCGCGGCAACGCGATGGCAATTGCGATGGGCGTCGGCTTGGCCCTCGGAGTCATGATTGGACCTCCGTATGGAGGAATCATGTACGAGTTCGTATCGAAATCCGCTGCTTTCCTGGTGCTAGCTGCTGTGACCTTGCTGGACGGCCGTAAGTTGAAAACCTAGGGCCCAGGTGGTGCATAAATTTTTCGAAATCACTACCGTGGATTCGTGGACGTTCCCCAAGCATCTGATGCAGAGCGATTCCCAAGCATCGGGCTCTCTGCACGTAACTCGTATGTCTTTTACAGTGCTCCAGCTTGCTGTACTCCAGCCCTCGATAAGTCAAGGAAACATTGAGGGTGCTTCTCTGGGAGAACTTCTGCGCGATCCTTATATCATCATCGCCGCGGGGGCGATAACGTTTGCTAACCTCGGAATCGCTGTGCTCGAGCCGTCATTGCCTCTCTGGCTGATGGACACGATGCACGCCCCAAAGTGGCAGCAAGGTTCGAATTTCCACGTCAAGGAAAAAGTTTTGGACACATTGATGAACATACATTCACCGTCAACCGAGGGAGCGCTGCGCTGAAATTGATTCGATGAGCGCTTTCCGTGAAGATTCCCCCTCCCCCAGTCTGACAACCCTTCACGCTGTCACCGATCTTGCAGGTGCTGTGTTTCTACCTGCGTCTATATCGTATCTGATTGGCACGAATCTTTTCGGTCCTCTCGGTCACAAGCTTGGCCGCTGGCTATCCACAATGGTCGGCCTGATCATAATAGGACTCTCACTCCTATGCGTAAGTGCGGTCGGCGAGCGAGGGATCGGAGCTGAATAACGTGAGCGCTCGCACCCCACAAGCACCGAATTGAGGGACGCCCCATGCTTTTCCAGATTCCGATGGCAAAAAATGTGAATCAGCTGATACTGCCCCAAGCAGGAATCGGCTTCGCTATCGGGATGGTGGATTCCTCGATGATGCCTATGCTCGGCTATCTGGTGGATATTCGACACACTTCGGTGTATGGCTCGGTGTATGCCATCGGAGACGCCGCTTTCTGTATGGGCTTTGTTCTTGGACCTCTTATCTCTTCGAGCGTCGTGAAAACGTTCGGCTTCAAAACGTAAGCATTAATCATTCTCACCCTCTAAGCTAAGATTGTTGTTATCCATCTGAATCTACAGGATTTCCTCAGTTGATTTCGGATTGAATTCGGAGGAGCCAAATTAACGAGGCTTCCCCTTTTCCTCAGGCTTGTATATTTGACGGGAGTTGTCTGCATCTGTTATGCACCGTTACTGATGATGTTACGGAGCCCACCTGCAAAGAACGAAGACCGGGTGAGTGTAGATGTCGGCAAGGTCCTATACTTTGCAGCGAAACTCGCAAATCCATGCCAGGATCGAGGGCTCGAATCTATCTGACATCGGAATCTCGAGATGGTCGCATGTTTCGGGTTTTTGCACGACGCATTCACTCTCTCTCTGGAATTCCAGTCTCTCGTCATGGGGACGACAACACTTCGTTATGACACCTACACTAATGAAGAATCGCCCGTCGAAGAAACGAAACTATCGAATCAAAACTCCGCCGTTGTTCATTGAAACGTCATTCCTCACTGGCCTCAGTAGCATCGAAATAGGATTAACTTCCAGTTAATTAGCCAATTATTACCCCTGAACTTTAGACCGACATCGTGTAAGATGACTGCGAAAGCGTTTCATAGCGAAACATGTTTATTCTATCGGTAAGGTGGGGAGTGTCGAGAGGTACACAGGTCATACAGGAGGAAACTCTGCAAGGATTGGGTTGCACCACTTGGATCGTTGAAGACAGAGAGTGATATGTTGTATGATTTTGATTAGTATAGTACCCATATGACATTGAGGATATGCTAAAGCGATTATCACAGTAATAATCATTGACTATTATTCTTATCGTAAGAGAAGTTTGTCTAAGCAAGACTAACTATGGCCTTTCCGTGCCTCATTCTTCTTCGGGATTCGACGTGATATTCCACTCCCGACTAGTGGATAAGTGTGAGAGAACTCTTGTTCCTTCGCTCACGTGTCTCAGAGGAGTCGACTCCTTGATGCTTACGTACCAAATGTGAATATCATGATATTCTGGAAGTATTTCCCGAAAAAGCTTAGTTAGAGTGATCTCACATCTACAGTAATAATATCGAGCAGTAACCTCGACGATGAGCTGTCTAGAATGCAGAACTCCATAGGTAGATGGCAGCGCGGCTTGACCTTTTGCGAGTCCAGACTTCTACCGACGCCCAAGGACTCCTCGGACAGAAATAAAGGTTCGCTTCTCTCGAATCGGGCATCGCATTCATTCTAGCATCGAAAAGACGGTGCTTTTGGGGAAGCAGTTCGCCGAGTCTCGTATTTAGAAGGGAGAAACCTAGTGTTCAAAATCTCGAACGACCTCCTGCTTTTTGGAGAGGCGGATTTTTATTGAGACAAGGTTTTGTACACATTACACATTCCAGTATTCCTCAGCGTCTTTGGAATCGTATAGAAGAACACCACGTCCCTGTTCCTTAAAGAGATGAGCTTGACGCTGACTCATGGGAATTCACTCTCGGTGCCTGCCCGCTTGGGGGCTGGACAAGCTCACCGAGCGGAACTCTCGCTGATAGGAGCTCTGATGAAGAGAAGCATGGGACGACGATATCATCGATCGTTGAGTCGCTCTACGTCGACTTCATTGCCTACGGTGTTTCTAGAAACGCCGTCCGAGATCAGCGCCGCATTCTCGAAATGTGATCCTTGCGACGAGTTGAGCCTTGAATGAGAAATTGAAAAGTTTTGTCCGGATCGAGATGACGCAAAGGTGTATGCATAGGGACATCCATGAGAGCATCTCTGATATCAGAGGAGGTTCTGCATATCCTACCTATCGTATTCCCGGAAATCGTCAGTCGCTGCATACACCTGAAGGCAGAGTTCTCCCAGGTGAGTGAAGGCTGCCCCTGCCTTATTGAAGATTTCTCCAACCTGGAATGCAAATTCGAATCCTCATTCGATTCTTGTCGAAAAGACACCGAAGCAGCTCGAAATCAGAGGAAAAGGCTCGAGACCTCAGAGTCCGCGACACGAGCCGAGTTGCCTCAAATCGACACAGGTTTCCCGAAGAGATCGGAGATCCGCAGAGCCTGCGCGAAGTCCCGTTTTTCGGAGGAGCTCTTCTTGAGATCTCGCCCGCTTCGCTGTCAACTCTTCCGGGAAAGGTCTCCGCGACCCAACTCTGATGGGCAGGATGTATTTCGCCCCACATCGAGTTAAGTAATTGAGCTAATGCAGCGATCAAGAGCCCCAGGCGATCCCATCCGATTCTCCGCACGGAAGAGCCTTCTTTTGGCAATATTCGATTGCTAGACAATCTCGCAAAAGAGCGGGAAACTCTGACCAATCATCAGACTGACTCCTGTGCGAACTAACAATAAAATGGAAGCCGAAGTTCCATCAGGGCACAGGACTGAGAATGTTAGCGCTCGTCGGGTCTCATCATAGTAGCTGAGGTACAGGAAGCGTCCCGGAGGCATTCGAAAGCTCCGAACTGAGCTCCATGACGTGACTGGAGATTGAACCCGAGCTGCAATCCAGTTCGCGCTCCAGGCAAGCTTACACTGAAGTCGAACTTGAGCTCAACTGAGGCTCATGCTCGACTCAGATCCGAGCTTCCGGATCGGTGATCAAGAATGTATGAACAGGCTGCTCGTGAGGAGCTCTCCTCCGGAGGCTGCTCCTTCAGCAAGTTCGCGCGTCGCAGCGGTCAAGTGATGGAGCAAGCGATGCCGATCAAGCTCCTCTCAGGCCTCTCCTCAAGGATCCCTCTCGAAATTCCAAAGGATTCAGGACTCGGGAAAAGGTGAGGGTCTCCGATCCCTTCGCATGGAGCGAGCAGGCATCAGCTGTGCGAGCCAACTTCCCTGCGATGTGAGAGTCGGCACTAAATGTTCCTATTCTTGTTCGCACTCACTTTTGCCGCTGAGTGTTCCGAGCTCATACTTCTTCCCCTGATATGAGTGAGTATAGAGCTCCAAGCGAGACGAATCGCCTCAGAATCACCACGGGAATAGATGCCGGTAGAATTTACCAATCTGGCAGTGCCTCAGTGACGGGGTAATAGCATCCGTCCGATCACGAATTCCACAATGCTCCAAGGCGCAGCGATAAGCACCTCATATGGTGATTTATCGTTCAGAAGTACGGGTAGACTGTGACGATTGAGGCTCAATTAAGACCGCTTCCTTTAACTCCATCCATACGAGACTAATACTGAAAATTGTTTACTTGGCGCTGATGATGATGATCTCTGCTCGAAAACGGGAGTATTCGGGGGTTCTCATCGAGACATCATACACTTCTCTTTCCAAGATTTGCCGGAGAGGAGGGGATGCTCGTTATGCTAGAGGATAATGCTCCTTGTTTCCGCAGCCCTGTCCCGAGCCCTACGCCCAGAGACTCCTGAGACAAAACGTCAGGGATCAGAAGACGACGCCATGGGGGCAACATGGTATGCGCGGGACCGGCGTCGATCGTTCTCCTTGCAGGGGAAGATTACTTGGAAATTGCGTAGAGAAATTCCCAGACAAACAGCGTCCAGGATTGTCAAGAATTGTTCCACGATTTACGAATTCCCGTGAGCTGAATTCTACGGCTGATGGTGTGTCGTCGGGATTCGAGCTGCTCGAAAGTGAGCAATATCCTGTTCGTGCGATGGTCTGCAGACATTGTCCATATGGTTTCGTTTCCGTCTTGAATTCTCTCCCCGATATTGCTTGAGAGCATTGATGATCTGGTTAGACCACACGCTCCCATGATTCGGAAGTCGAGACTTTGGAACATCAAGGTGGATTCGATGAATATCTAGACCATCTAGTCCACAGGGCCTATCGCGGCTAGACTTATTGGATGTCAGACATATTTATTCATTTTGCATTAATTCACAATTGTACAGAAGTTTACAAAATTATGAGTGAGCCAACCTCATATCGCATTTCCGGAGCTCGTCCGCAGGGTGTGCACGGGCGAGCGACGACCACATCGATGGCGCAGCAAATTGGCGTGCGCTCCGCTTCCGAATACACTATCGGGGGGTGATTCGGCGTTCAGTTCGAGTCGTATTCCAGTTTATGCGTTTCGGTTAGCCCCACCACGTCCACTTCGCTCTCCGTTGCATTGAGCATGTTCAGCGTGATATCGGCCGACGTTTGCTTCTGCTGGGCGAGTATCGTCGCAGCGAGGGCTGCTTGTTGCGAACTTTCTTTCTTGATCGTGACAGACGGGCCTTGTTTCGTGCCATTGTTCGGTGCGATGGTCTTTTTAGCCGGCAGACTAGCGGTTTCCACAGCTTTCCTCTTCATGTTGGTTTTGATCTGCAAACTACGATCGGGAAACGTTAAACTCAACAAGCCATCGAGAGAGCGAAAGAATTATAAATCGATGACGATGATTCTACATTCGACGTCCTTGCTCTTCAAGGCTCCATCCGCTCGACTTACACAGCACGGCTTTTTATACACTCGGAGAGTTTCTTCAGATCGTCCGAAAACCGTCGGACCGCTAGTCTGAGCATTTCAATCTCTTCTTCCGTCCACTTGCCCCTGGAAGTTCCAACAAGAATAATTAGAATCTGAGTAAGCTGGCGCGTCCATCGCAAGGGAACAATAATTACCTATAGCAATATAATAGTATCGGCGGGAGGAAGTTGCATTCGCCCGCTCAGCGAGGAAGAGCGACGCATCGGTCAAGGATAATTAATTGGCGGATAATACCGTATTCTCTCTTATAGTGGGGCACTCTTTTTTATTCGGGCACTCTCCGCTAGACGGGCACCTTTTCGGAAGAAGAAAATATAGAAGAGCACTCTCTATATACAGGCACTCTCTATTGGAGGAGCACCTTTTTGAGGAGGATAGAAAATGATCTCCTGAGAAGTGCTCCTGATTGGAGAATGATCTGATGATTGCTCCTGATTTCTTGAGAACTCCACGAGCTGGTTGGGAAATGAACGGGCACGCTCTACACGGCAGGCTATGGGCTGTAATCCGTTCTCGGGATGTTGAAAATATAGAGGGGCACTCTCTAATATTCGGGCACTCTCCAATATACGGGCATGGTTCGGAAGCTCGAAAAATAGAGGGGCATGCCCCACTATTAGAGGGAATACGGTAATCAATTCTCAGGCTGCATTCGATCGCGGGATCGATTCCTTGAATGGATTCTGTTGTGGAAGGGGGTCGTCAATCAGCAACGTTCCTCTGTAACGCTACCGCTGGAGATCAGAAAATCCATTAGCGCTTCCTCCCAGCTATCTCACGGGGGAATCTTCAAGTTCTCCTGATGGATGGGGTGCAACCATCCGCGCGGTCCAGATCATCATGTTTCTAAATTACTCCATGCGGCATCTATGAATCGGCGCATCGATGAACCCCATCTCGACTCATTCAAGTCTCCGAACTCTCCCTTAAGAGGAGAAATTTAAAATCCGGCTGACTACTAATCGTTTTTTAGGTCTCGATTTTCTCGGCTCTCGAATTCTGGACGTCTTACCCAACAAGGTTTTGGTCGGTGTTGGAATACAGCTGTGTCGACAATTCTCCAAGTTGCGAGAAGGCGTTCCCCGCTGCCGTAAATACGTCGCCAACCTGTTGGGAAACCGTATGATTTTGGAGAATCTGAGTATCGGTATAAGTGGTATTCGGATCTTTCTATACGTTCTCGCAGGGAGTCCCAAGTGTCGTGCCGATTGAATCTCCCTCGCATTGACCGATAGCAGTGAGATCTCACGGATACTTCCGCGAACCCATCGAAATCACTCCGAGAGTTTCTTCTCGGTGTTCTCCAAACCCAAATAAACATTGTCCCAAGTTGTCAACAGAGCACTTCCCGAGATCCGAGTCGGAACACTCTCACGGTTCCCTGTATTGTCTGCATTTGAGGACTCTCACCTTGGCGGCGATCTCGGCGTTGTTCATGCCGAAAACGAATGCGTTTCGCCTGTTATAGGCGAGTATTCTTCTGCTTCTGACAAATCCTTCTTAATCGCAGTCGTAAGTCAACGGTAGAAATCAACCACTAAACCCGACCCCGTCCTACAGAAGTGGCGCTGGATGCGCCGCTCGGTGGCGCTGGTGCCGATGCGCCGTGCCGGGAGCAGACGAGCACCACAACCCTGATGATCCCTTCGAGCTAGGACCCGGCTTCGTGGGAACCGCGCTCCCTTGCGGCTCTCCCGTGACATGGTGTAATTATGGGGAAACGCGAAAAAGCATCTCCCGAACAAAATCTGCGATTCTACATGTTTGCGAGGCACAAGCGGCACGCGGCGCGGGTTCAGGGTCGGGCAATGATATTTCCGCAGAGACATGGGAAACTAATGACAGCGCAGCGCGCGAAATTGATCGGAAGGCTCATCGCGCGACGGAATCATTCCGAAACTGACAGAGGTCCGTTTGGGATGACTAAGAGCGGCGGAAACGTAGACGAGGTGTTCTACGTAATCACCGTTTTTCGGAAAAGTCGAGGACATGTGATATTTTTCAAACCGTCTTCTACGGACATGGTAAATTTTCCCAATCTCTTCCTCTGTCCCTCGGGGGCGGATATCATTCTCCAGGATCACGGAATCCCTAATGAGGTATACATAGAACTTCAGGATCGACGAAGAAGCGCTTACGAAAACAGATCAATAGCGGAAGCAGCGGGGGAAGGGCATGGCGCGAAGGAGGGGCGAGTCGGAGTACGCCAGTCTTCTCCTGCGTTTTCCAAGAGCGGGAAAATGCCTTACACGTGGTTCCTGCAGGAATCGATGGTGAGGATTTCGCGACCCTCAGAAACCTGGCTTCTCTCAAGCTTCAGAGACAGTCTGCCCATAGACTGAGGCTATCAGCAGCTGTCGATGGAGCAGGGAATCGCTCCATGAAAGATGGAGCACCTCATGCCGTGAATGCATCAGAAACGGAGAGAATATCTCCTGGAAGAGGCTTGTCTCATACCCAGCTTTGACCAACGCCTCGGTTCAAGTCACGGTCGCCGGAGCGATCGAGCGCTCATCTCCGTAGGAGGACCCGACTGCGATCATTGAGAATATTTTGTACGTACCTAATTCAATCCGACACGTGTGCGGGCCACGCATATCATGGCGTGCCGAGAGTTTTTCCCTGTGGAGTCCACTGAGTACGAAGTCCATCGCGAGGATTCCAGGGTTCCACGATCCCATCGATCTGTGCCAATGATTCGCAAAGCTTCATTGGTTGGATGATCAAAAAACCATCTCGGCTTTTTGCATGGAATGCATGAATTTGAATTCCTTCGACATGAATTGAATCGCTCAGCTTTCCTCCGGCGACGTTCACCTGTGCTGGATCTCCCAGGTCTCCGTGAGACTCGACGACACATCCGAAGGGACCGGGGCAGTGCTGCGCGGGAGATGGAAATATGGAGAATTGATGAGTCGATTAAATCGATTGTCGCCACCAAATCGAAGCATGGGATTTTCTTCTCGGGAGTCGAATCGAATGGCTTTGAGATCGATATACTTCGGTCGATCCGAGATTTCGAACTTCCCTTTCAAAATAAAATCCGCGGATAACCCTACCCTGAGGTTTTCTCGGGACTTGGGAGCAGAGGGAATCATCGCTCACTGTCACGTTCGTAAGGCCTTCCGCGTACAACGGTGTCCATTGTTGCGATTGAGAATTCATCTGTCACCAAAAGAACCGACAGCTGTGCGCTGCGCTCGTCGCAGGAGGAATTTTCCTCCGAAAATTCGGGAACACGGTTCATGCTGAGTTCCCTGCGTTTCGCTTGGATGCGACCGCGAGACTCGACTGGTGCCTGAGGCGTAATTTCAACCTTTCCAAGCCGAATAACCAGCGGAGATGGACCCCGATCCTGCAGAGTCGCATGCAGACCGAAAATAGTTCGATGCAATTGAATAGATCCGGGAATAAGCACTTTCCCCGTTTCCGTCCTCTTTGTTGTGACTTTCCGACGAGCGTGTCTGAAGGACAGCTTTCGACGGTCCGGAGAAACACTGACATCCATTTCATATCGTCGCCTACAGAGACCCCCCGAAGCGGAACTTGTATACATGAAGGAAAGCGACGACTGTGTGAGATGTTTCTCTTCAAATTCCTTGCTCGCTGCGAGAGATTCTCACGTACACCCCTGAGACTGCCAGCGATGAGCGAAGCCGCTACAGAGCCCGAGGGCTTCGGCCCTCGAGAAGCTCCCGATCGGGAACAAAAGCGTTTTTTCCCTCCCGGTCGAGTGTTCCGAGCTGGCCCGCTGGACCACTGTTCGAAGGCTGACGTTTTTAACAGAACGATGAATCGCCTCTGGAGCATCAATTATTCATGAGACCTTCATTCTCAACTTCATATCTAGCTCGGCAAGACTCGACTCGGGGGCTTCTCTTGGCCTGTGTCCGCGCAATATTCGACTTGGAGGCATCCAAACGACGGAAAAACTTCACGGAGGTAGTGTCATGACACTACCGTGATAGGACGTGAAACGCCTACGCCAAATCGGTGAACAAAACCCAGCTTTTTTTCATCATTATAAAATCTGCCACAAATTGCCACAAATAATGTTGATGTGATCCGTTTTCTTCCCTACACAAACTTGATAAATTAGAGCTCTTATAAATAACTGATGAATATGATGAATGCTTATGGAATTTATGATTCTGCCGCACTGTTGAGACTCATATCTTCAAATTCGTCATTACAACCTTCGGCTTCAAAGCATCCTCGAAGCCTAGCTGTATTTGCGTCGTTCTCTGCATCGTCAATGACTGTATTGGTTGTTGAGGAGAGTTGTCTCGCACCGTTATAGCCACGAATTTGGACGTTCCTGATGATGACAGCCTGCCCTTCTTTGCCATCAAGTTTTCCCACAAACTCTGACCAAACGCCAAGATTGATCATTTTCATGGTGTCATCCAACACTGTTATCGTCTGTTTTTGCCGATTGGTTCCATCGCGACAGTTGAACGATTGAACGCGACGCACAATCAAGGAACATCTACCGCACAGCTGACCAGAAATCGCTCCGTAAAAAACGATGTGCATATATGTATATGATCAGGATGGATAAAATACTAAATCCTTCTAAATAAAACATTCTTCGGAACTTGAGAGCCTGATCGTCGAGTTGCGCAGGGGGACCAAAGACACTAGCTTTGGCTTGTAAGTCGAATCAGCTTTGAAATCCAATGTTCATAGGCTCTGGAGACATATTCATCAAGGAACCGCGGAGATTATCAGTATGATTGGAAATCGGGTCGTAAGGGCTCTTAACGTTCTCAGAATCATTTCAAACTCGAATAGAAGATTGGCCCGTAAATTGTCTGCCGATCAATACATCCCGACAAAAATTCTGTGCACAATTAAGAAAGTTCTAGCCTCTCAAAAGCGGCGTTAAATCGTTACATGAAGGACGAAGTAAATTGAACGCGCCCCCCTAGTCGAAATTAAAGACGTTTCACGTCGAAAAAAACGCGCAGGTAGTGTCGACGCTTGCTTCTGTTCTACGATGGGAATGACTAGGTCCTTGTACCAAGAACGGAGTCACCAACTAGATATATTTCCAGGATGATTACTCCTTATATAGCACTCGATACGAAACTCGTGACACCCCCTCTCAACATTCAACAGACACCAAGTCTCCTCCGACAAAACTTGAACTTTTCCCTTTTAGATATCTCAAGATTCGTTTCACCAAAGTCCTGTGTCTCTTTGGGGATCTGAGCAGAAGTGGTTTGCCAAGCTAACAGCAAAGCTGATGTCTGGACGGGTTGTCTGAGATATGAATATTAGGCCACCGACGGCTCCACGGTAGGGAGCATCAGCCGGGTCCTCTTCTTCTGATCGCTCCGCGTACCTCGCAACCGGTTCCACGGCGGTCTCGACGGGATTACAATCAGCCATCCTAAACCGCTCCAGAAGTCGTCGAATGCTCTCGGTTTGATCAAGCACAACAATCCTCTCTTCAGGTCTTTGCAAAATCTTGATGCCATGGCAATATTGAGCCTGCTCTTAATTTTTTATCGGGAAGATATTTCCCAATTCCATGACGACCTCGGTTCGCAATCCCGCATCATTTGTGAAGATCAGAAAATCGTCAACATAAATCGTCAGTAAGATAATCTTGGTTCCGCTCGATAACCAATAACAGCATCGATCGGCACTGAACTCGTTCAGACCCAAGGATCCAAATCCAAGCGGATTCTCGAGGAAACGAAACAGCGTGGAATGAGGATGCCTCCAGAGGTCGGTGACGCCCATGATTCGGACTTGAATTTGCATCCATTCGAGCGGGAGCGATTACCTGTATCGGAGCATTCGAGATGATTCGACTGTTCAGTGTTTATTGCTAAGGCCGCTCCGGAACTCCGCTGAATCGGCGGCTTTAAAAATCGTCGAATCGTCAAACGATTCGACGTATCGTTTTCACGTCAAAGAAACACACACAATTCATCCCCTAACTCCGTCGTTTACCTAGGCGTTCACCGACTCAATTAAATATGTAATGAGGAATTGGCACGAGAGGTCGTTCAGATCAAGCCCGCCGGCGTTCTTTTGGAGTCCTAATTAGTTTCACCGATTCCGAATACATGTACACTCGTGGCGTTGGTCACCGCGCATACTCCGCAGGAGTCGGCACGCCGCGGGGCCCTAGAGATTAGACGCGCTATAACTCATATTCTTGATCAGATTTGATGCAACGCTTAAGCGTCTATACACTATAAATAGCCGCGGTGCCTCCGAGCTGATAATCCCGACATCACTGATTCCGTGCGGTTTTAATCGCAGCGTCTTTGCGAAATCCTCCTGCTGACTTCTCTCAAGTAGACGGATAATAATTATTCACCGAGTATCATACGAGTTCTCTGATCTACCCGGAGGAATTCTGTCCGAGGTCGTAGTGAAGGACGGTGCCTCCGTGCACTGTGCGTGACTCTCCCAGGAGCTTCTGCAACGCATCCTTGGCTGGCAATCGAAAAAAAAAACTATCATCAGAACTTTCTCATTAGTTTTTGACCAGCCACTCGGACAGCA